AAGCATATCACCTTGAGCTCCCTGACATTTATGTGGAGGGAGCGATCCTCCTGGGACCAGAGGCCCTGGGTACTGCTGTTGCTGAGGTGGGCTCCCCACCATAAGTCTGAAGTGTCAGAGTCCAAGGTCTCCTATGGGAGTGCGGCTACAAAGACAACCCATTCCAGGACTGATTGCGGTTATGCCCACCAAGTTAGGGATGACAGGACGTTCAATGGGACTGTGACCACTAAGTCCAAATTGTGCCTGCCGGGAGCGTAGACCAATGCCAGCCATGTCTGCAGAAGTCTGAGCCATATACATGCGTGTTGAACAACGTAAGTATACACCGTCATGTGGTCAAGCAGCTTGAGGCATACCTGGGCAATCATGAGCAGGTGGGCTCTGATGTGCATGATGAGGTCTGACATAGCTCAGAATCAGGACTCTAGCAGGTAGGCTCTGGCCTGAGTAGAGTCAAGCAGCACTCCTATAAACTCTATCCTTTGAGCAGGAGTCAATTGATTTTTGTTAGTTTATAAGCAGGCTCAGTTCCCGACACTTTGGTGCGAGCCACCTAAGGCCGTGCTGGACCTGGGCTTGTGATCTGCCTCAGACAAGCCAGTCGTCGAGGTATGGGTACCTCAACATCTCAGGTAAGTGGCCACCACCGCCACGCACTTAGTGAAGACCCTTGGAGCAGAAGATAGGCAGAAGGACAGTGCCATGAATTGGTAGTGGAAATAGGCATCCTATAAGTTGAGGGTGGCGTACCAGATCCACAGAGGTGATGGAGGCTAGGGAGTCCATGTGGAACTTCAACTTCTTGTGATATCTGTTGAGGCAACTCACGTCTAGAATGAGTCTGAGGCTCCTTTTGGCATCCGGGATTAGAAAATATTAGGGGTAAAACCCTTTCTCCCTCATATCTTCAGGAACTTCCTCCATGCCCTCTTGACATAGGAGGCATTCCACCTCCTTGACGAGGAGTTGCTTGTGAGAAGGGTCCTGAAGAGGAAGGGGGGTGGGAGGGAGGGATGCAAGAAAACTGCAGAGTGTAGCCAGCTGCTATGGTGTTGAGCACCCAATGATCCAAGGTAACTCGGGCCCATGCAGCAAGAAAGGAAGATAAATGGTTCAGAAATAAACAGAGGGATGGATCCTGGGGCAAGACTGGAACACCGTCCTGAGGCACAACCTCAAAAATGCCTGCCGAGTGTCATGTGGGGCCTGACTGGGTCATCAAGGACGGGTCGGGTCTGCGGTGCTTAAACCCTCCGTCTCTTCTCTTATAGGGACCTTGCTGTGGTGGACCTGAGAATTTCATTGGTGAAGGTAGCCGGAAATGCTTCCTGGAGCCTGCGGCATGTACAAGCCCAGGCAGCACAGAGTGGCGCTGGAGTCTTTCAGGTTGTGCAGCCTGGTATCTGTCTGCTCTGAAAATAGAGCTGTGCCCTCAAAGGGAAGGTCCTGAATAGGCTGCTGCAACCTCCTGGAGAAGCCCTAAGGATGGCAGCCATGAGCTGCATTGCATGGGCACTGCCAAGGCCATTGACCTGGCCACTGAATCTGCCACATCCAGTGCTGTCTGGAAGAAGGCTCTGGCCTGTCTTACCTTCCTCTAAGACAGTGGTTCTCAAACTGGGGATGAAGGGGACCCCTCAGAGGGTCATGAGGTTATTACATGGGGGGGGTCGCAAGCTGTGAGCCTCCACCCCAAACTCCGCTTTGCTTTCAGCATCTATAATGGTGTTAAATATATTTTAAAGTGTTTTTAATTTATAAGGGAGGGTCACACTCACAGGCTTGCTATGTGGAAGGGTCACCAGTACAAAAGTTTGAGAACACCTGCTCTAAGATGGGCAGGAACTCTTGCCTGGAATCCTGCAGCAAGGAATCCTTAAATTTCACTACAGAGTCCTAAATATTACAGTTGTATCTCCCCAGCATCGCCTGCTTTTTGTAGATTCTGAGTTGGAGACTGGCCATAGAATAAATTTTTCTCCTGAACAAGTCCAGCTTCCTTGCATCCTTGTTCTTAAGAGTCGTGCTTGCCTGACCCTGCCTGTCCTGGTCATTAGCAGCGGATACCACCAGCAATCCAGGGAGTCTGTGAGTACTTGTAACTTTTGGATGGAACATAATACTTCTTTTCCATCCTCTTCGATGTTGGGGATGGAGTCTGCCAAACCATCTTGACCACTTTCAATCCCCTTCTTGAACTGGCAGCGCAACCTTAGAGGATGCTGCGTCCGCCAGTATATTGAAGAGGCTAGCAGTGGGCTCAGAGAGCTCCTCTGCCTCTAATCCTAGGTTTGCAGCCCCCTTCTGAGGAGCTCCTGATGAGCCTGAAAGTCATTTTGCAGGAGTGGGTCAGAGGGACCAGTGACCACCTTGTTCGGAGATGAAGAGAATGATAGCAGCACCGGGGGAAGGCCAGAGGTCCTTTCTTCCACCAGGGAAACCTGGACTTCATTACCAGGATCGGAGTCAGAGTCTGGTTTCTGTATGGGAGCGGGAGTGCCATGGCCTGTTTTTCTGATATGGTTGCCGAAGACTGATGGGAGTAAGGCCCCAGCATCATGGGAACCTCCCCATGGGTTCCAATATGGCCAATGTACTGGCCATTGTCCCAGGCACCAGACACCCGCACCGAAGACTGGCACATACGACGACTGGTGCTTCTGTGGGTGAGTACCAAACTTCCCCTCTGACTACGAGGATGACTCCTCCCTTGGGGACCACGGCAGAGCTGTCAGTGCCTCCTTCTGCTAGCTATGATTGGGAGTGGTGCCGGGGGAGAAAGCGATCATTGACACAGTTCCAGGAATGGATGCTACATACATGGGGATTGGTGCCAAGACTGTGGACTGACATGGAGTCGGGAATCGAGGTGCAGGAGACCGGTGTCAGGGAGACAGTGACCGCCGCTGAGTCATCAGCGACTGGTGCAGAGAGGAGGGTGGTCAGTACCGAAGAGGTAGGGACCAATGCTGCGAGGCTGGTGATCGATGACGCGAGGCCAGAGACTGGAAATTAGGCATTAAGACCAGTGCCAGGACACTAGAGAACGGCACTAGCCGAGCGACCACGGAGGCAGGCCCATAGAGGGCTGCCTTTTGGAGGGGGGGTGCCTTCACTGGCTCCACAGTTGAAGGAAGGTGCCACCGTGTGGGCGGCACCAGTAGGACCATCAGGTCTCTGGGTGCCTGAAACACCTCCAGCATTGAGGGCACCATCAGGCATAGGGGACCCCTACCACTCCCTGGAGACAGCGGTGGTTCCCGTTATGGGCTCAGAGCCCCAGGCAGAAAAGCTGCTTCCCAGTCACCCAAAAGGCAAACAGCCCAACACTGGTCCTTTGACTGCCACTCCTTTCCCATCCTTCTTCGATGCGGGGGAGCACCCACATTCAGTGTGCTGCTTCCTATGAAGCTTTCTCGGCACCAGTGATAGTGAATGGTGCCGAGGTGAGCCCAATGCCAGTGGAGCACTCCATACTGAGGTTGAAGTGCTCAGCACTCAGTCAGAACAGGATAGTTCTGAGGCTGGCCTAAATGCTGCCTCCATCAATAGGGCTTTAAGGCAAATGTCTATCTTTTTGAGTACGCGGTCTGAAGCCTTTACAAATGTTATCCTTGACGTCTGTTTCCTCCTGACACTTTAGACCTATGTGAGGATTGCTCACCAGCATGGGCTTCTGACAGACGGCACACGGTTGAAGCCTGGACCATGCCCCGTGCCTGGGACACAGTCCCTGAGGGGACCACTAACTATTCTAACTTCTTTATCAAACACTAAGAATAACTACACAAAAGAACTGATGAGTAAGAAACCAATAGGAGCACTTCAAATCGCAAAACAGAAAACGGCGTTCCAGTGACCAACACAAGCAGTAAGAAGGAACTGAGAGGGTGCAGGCCCGGCAGCCATAGACCAGCACATGAGCACCGAGCTCCAGGGGATGCCAGAGCTGGCCCTATGGATACCATTAAGGGAAAAAGCTCCAGCAGCCATGCACGTAATAAAGGCAACTGTGTTGATAGAGGATATTGGGTTTCCCCAAGGTATTTGATTTAGTCCACAAGACATTTTTTATTTAAAAATTGCATTATATGGAATTAAGAGGGCACACATTAGATGGATTAAAAACTGGCTCACTGACAAACCTCAAAATGTAGCTGTTAATGGGGAAACACCATTGAGCAGGGCTACTTCACGGGGGACCCTAAGGGTTCGATGCTTGGTCCAACTACCTAATAGTTTTATGAACAATCTAGACAATGATAGGTAATCTTTGCTGGTAAAGTTTGTAGATGACAAAGATTAATGGAGTAGTAAATAATGAGAAGGACAGGTTACTGCTAGAGTAACCCGAATCGCTTAAGTAAATGGGTTTTAAAATAGCCAAATGCAAGGTAATACACCTGGGAACCAAGAACACAAATGATACCTATGGGATAAGGGAATATCTTGGAAAGGAACGACTGAGAAAGATTTAGGGGTCATCATGGATAATGTGAGCTGTCAGTGCAATGCTACAGCAAAAAGGGCATAATGTGATCCTGGCATGTATTTAAAAAAAAAGTGAATATCAAGTAGAAATAACTAAGTGATTTTGCCTCTGTACACAGCATTGGTAAGACCACTACAAGAATGTTGCACCCAGTTCTGTTGTCCACATGTCCAGAAGGATGTGGAAATACTGGAGAGAGAGTTCAAAGGAAGGCCACGAAAGTGATCCAAGGGCTGGAAAACAAGCCGTACAAGACTTCAGGAACTCAACTTATTCAGTTTATCAAAGACAAGGTTGAGATGACTCATCACAGTGTATTGGTACTTACACATGGAAAAGATATGGGGGGTGGAGCGGGCTTTTCAACCTTGCTGACAAAGGCATAAAATCTAAGAGTTGGAAAATGAAGTTAGACAAATTCAGACTTGAAACGATGCAGTTTCTTGGCACTGAGGCTAAATAAACACTAGAACAGCTTATGGAACAGTGCAGGAGGTGAACTCACCATCACTTGGAGTCTTCAAAAAGATATCAAATCTCTTCTTAAAGGATACATTTTAATCCAGCTTCAAGAAGAAATTCTGCAGCCTGCGTGCACATGGAAGGAAGGGGTGTGTCAGGCTGGGTGATTGTGGTAGTATCTTCTGACCTTAAAGTCTTAATCCGTGGGTCCCCTGTTCACTCCTTTCCTTCACAGACTATGGGGAGACAAGGATTGCCTGTATTACCTCCATTAAGATGTCACCATAATCAAATCTCATGCTTCAAGGTTTCAGCCAGTCACCTGCAGGGGTCAGGAAGAATTCCGCCCTGCCCCTGCCCCCCTCCCCCCCCTGAACACAGAATTGGCTTCAGGTATTATTTAGGGGGACGGGGGGGGGGGTTAATCTTCCTCTGAATCAGAGTGGCCAGAGGACACCAGACTGGGTAGACCAGTGCTCTGAAGTGAAACAGAGAATCCTTCCTAGATGCCCAGCCAGTGTATCTTGCTCCATACTCGTACTCGAATTACCAGATTTAAGGTCAGGAAGGAATTTTTCCCCAGGTTAGGCACCTTGGGGGGTGGGGAAGCATGCTGCCTTCCTCTGTAGAATGGAGCATGGTTCACCTGCTGGGATCATTTAGGCATCTCAACCCTAATCCATGTCCTGCCATTGCCGGGGACTCAGACATTGCTGGCATCTGGTTCTCTCCTGTTCTCTGCCTGTGGCGCACACCATTTAGTTTCCTGAAGGCTGAAATGGTTTGCTCTATTAAAATCTTTGGGCTTAATATGGGGGTATCTGGGTAAAATTTAATAGCCTGTGATATACTAGAGATCAGACTAGATAATTGGATGATTCCTTCTGGCCTTAAAGTCTAAGTAACATAACCCTTAAAGCCCTCTATGTTTTGTTAAATGTCTACTCAAAAATGAGAAGTCATTAAACTGTGTTGATCTTTATAATATTTCCTCTCCTTTATTACATGCTTCAATAACACTGAAGTGAACAGGGTAGCTCACACCTCTAAGACTGTAACATCTCCGCAGTATGTCTGCCAAGGCTCCCATTTCCATATGCCCCATATGCTTTTGTTTCACCTGTTTCTAATACAAGAAATGGCTCCATTGGTAAAAAGCACAATCCTCAGGTTCACTTGATAAGCACACAATTTCTTTACTAGTACAGCGTAAATTGAAATGACTGCTCTCCTTTTTTTCCCCTTGAGTAGATATGCATTTCTTGCATTCTGGGGTTCACTTCCAACTACTGACCAGCCACTATATGGGGGACCCAGCAATGAAATAGTTTCTTCTCTCAAGCAAGAGGTTTGTCTCCCCTCTGTCTACTAGATCAAAATTCCTAGAAAACAGCAACTCCCTAAAGGTCAGGAAATATTTGAAATGAAATTTCCTCCAAACCATCTAGGAGGTTAGTCATTTCAGTGACCTGAAGCTTTGTTTAGGACACGCTTTCATAAGTGAACGCTTCCATTACAGAATGCCTGTGTGAATATGCTGATGATGCACATTGACTACATGCCTCCGTAACATGTATAAGGCTACATTTGTGGCTGTGGGGCCTGTCCTCACAGCTAGCCAAGTTAGACTTATAATGGCAGAGTCTGGAATTTTATTGCAATTGCTGTGTGAAGGTTGCTAGTTCTATGTTGTCTCTTACCTACAGCAGTAGGTATCTAAACCAACATTTATTTTTACTGCAGCTAGAATAATAACTAGAACACGTAACAGAGCCTCAGGGGTCAATTCCAAGTTGGTCATTCATATAGCCACCCCACAACCCATTCCAAGATTTTGATTCCACAGTTTTTGCACAACAGGCCTTTGTCTCAAAAGCCAACTAGTATCAACAGAAAGACTGGACATATTTATCAGTTCATGTTCAGTGACAGTCCATATGTATTAAGGACAGAATCAGATATTGGCACTCATCCTTTGAGTACTTGGTTTCTGAATAGCAGAAGGCAGAAATTGGAATTAAAGTACAGATAATTTTTACTATTCAACAGCCACATGGATAAGAAAACTCCTTGACCCTTCCAGTAACCACTGGAGAGGAGTTTTAAATTTATAGAACATCTGCTAGCCAGAAGCTGATATTAAGGAAAGCCCTCTGTGAAGGGGTGTATGCCACACTGGCCGAGAGGGTAAATGAGGCCAATTAACTACACAGGCCGCACCTGGAGGAGGAGTCAGGGAGCTGGGATTGACTGGAAGCAGGCTCAGCTGAGCAGAAACAGATGGGGCCTATATAAGCCAGGAAGCTAGCAACAGAAGGAGGCAGGTAATAGTCTGCAATCACTCCCTGACAGGAGGGTACTTGGGCTGGCAAACCAGGGGGCTTACAAGGTAGGAAGGAATCCAAGTGAAGAGCAACATTGTCTGGGAGTAAGTAGGTCACTGTTTCGAGAGATAGGGTCCCTGGACTGGAACACAGAGTAGACGGCAGGCCCAGGTTCCCCTACCAGCCACTGGAGGAATGGAATCATTAAAGCAGTAAAGGGAAGACTGCCATTTTCATAGAATCATAGAACTGGAAGGAACCTCGAGAGGTCATCTAGTCCAGTCCCCTGCACTCAAGGCAGGACTAAGTATTAACTAGACCATCCCTGACAGGTGTTTGTCCAACCTGCTCTTAAAAATCCCCAAGTTAAAAAAACAGCCCTTTCCACTGTGACCTCCACCCCAATCAGCTGCAATTATTTAGGCAATGCAGTCACCTGGAGTGTCAGCTTCAGAAAACAGTGACAAAGGTTTTACTCTGAGATCGTACCCTACCAATGCCGGACAAAAAGAGAGCCTAAAAGCCAATACTGTGGCACTTCTGACAGTCATGCAGAGGACCAGAAGTGAACCTATGAGGTCACTGAATATATACTGGTAACTGGAATTACTATTTCCCTCTCCACTTACAACAGAAAATCCAGAGGCTTCAATGTAGCACTATGAGTCAGAGGCTGTGTTAGGGACACAGCGAGTAAGCTGCTGACACCTTTTGCATCTGTCTTCAGTGGAGCTCAACACTGACTTCAGGTGTGGAACCTCAACTGTAGCGAGGAGCCAATGCCTAGAGACTTTGATAGGGAAACTGCTTAGCTGAGCTCAGCAAAGGGGAGGGGGAAGAGAAGAGATATGGGCTCTAAATACACACAGGCAATGCTAGCACGTAGTCCCTGCATTCAGTTGTCTGCGCCAACTCCAGGTCCCAGAGTTCACCCATCAAAGCATTCTGGGCTGTCCTCATGCCTAGTTTATAGCAGTCTCCCTAGTCTAGGGTGCCTGAAGGTGGTCTTGGAGATGCTTCCCTTGAATCTTCAGTGCAGAAGAGGACACATACAGGGAAGTCTGGCACCCCCTGTACATTATGGTCAACATACGTGGTTGTCTGTCTCACATAAGTACTGCTTGGTAACTTCAAACTGTATTTGTGTAGCAGTCTTCCTCCCTCAAAGATGTACCTGGAAGAAGAGAAACTAGGTGGTGGGGCACTTGAAAAAGCACCAAACACTAGCACTAAGAGGAACAACAAAGGACCCCCAGGGGCCAAGAAAATGGAAGAGTTTGATGGCCCAAGATCTGTTAAAAATGATGCATTTAGATACCAGCACACCAAAAAAAAAAAAAAAGGAAAAGAAAAGAAAAAGTATTCCTGGGCGTCAAAAGCAAAGATTGCCACATGCTGCTGTGACCCTCCTTTGGTGCATTCAAGGCAAGTGCCAAATGCAGGGCATGCACCACGCACCAAGAAAAAAGTTGGTGCCAGCACAGACACCAATGTATTACAAAAGCATGTCATAGCTCTTGAGCCAAAAGCATTCCAATTTAGGCAACTGACTGGATGGTGGAAACTACTAGATTTACAGGACACAGCTGGCAGAAAACCCGGAGCAATGTAGAAGCACAGTGAATAGAGCGCTCCTTCACCAATCAAATTCAAGGAGGAACCGACCAGAAGATTTGGAGGTTTTCATACATATCTGACAATAGGTGGTGTGCAGTGGCCAGAATGGGGCCTGGTTCACGCATACCATTGCCCTCTGAGATCAAAATCTTTTAAGAGCTATGGGAATATTAAGTCTCATGCTGAAGAGTTTCAGAGTAACAGCCGTGTTAGTCTGTATTCGCAAAAAGAAAAGGAGTACTTGTGGCACCTTAGAGACTAACCAATTTATTTGAGCAGGCCCTATGCTACCAGCACTCCCAGCTACCTTCGAGACACCATTGACTTCCTGAGGAAACTACAATCCATCAGTGATCTTCCTGATAACACCATCTTGGCCACTATGGATGTAGAAGCCCTCTACACCAACATTCCACACAAAGATTGACTACAAGCCGTCAAGAACACTATCCCCGATAATGTCACGGCTAACCTGGTGGCTGAACTTTGTGACTTTGTCTTTACCCATAACTATTTTACATTTGGGGACAATGTATACCTTCAGATCAGCGGCACTGCTATGGGTACCCGCATGGCCCCACAGTATGCCAACATTTTTATGGCTGACTTAGAACGCTTCCTCAGCTCTCGTCCCCTAACGCCCCTACTCTACTTGTGCTATATTGATGACATCATCATCTGGGCCCATGCAAAAGAAGCCCTTGAGGAATTCCACCATGATTTCAACAATTTCCATCCCACCATCAACCTCAGCCTGGTCCACTCCACACAAGAGATCCACTTCCTGGACACTACAGTGCTAATAAACAACGGTCACATAAACACCACCCTATATCGGAAACCTACTGACCGCTATTCCTACCTACATGCCTCCAGCTTTCACCCTGACCACACCACACGATCCATCGTCTACAGCCAAGCTCTGCGATACAACCGCATTTGCTCCAACCCCTCAGACAGAGGCAAACACCTACAAGATCTCTATCAAGCATTCTTACAACTACAATACCCAACTGCGGAAGTGAAGAAACAGATTGATAGAGCCAGAAGAGTTCCCAGAAGTCACCTACTACAGGACAGGCCTAACAAAGAAAATAACAGAACGCCACTAGCAGTCACCTTCAGCCCCCAACTAAAACCCCTCCAACGCATTATTAAGGATCTACAACCTATCCTGAAGGATGACCCAACACTCTCACAAATCTTGGGAGACAGGCCAGTCCTTGCCGACAGACAGCCCCCCAACCTGAAGCAAATACTCACCAAACAACCACATACCACACAACAGAACCACT